TTTTTATTATATATATTTAGATTACTATTATATGTATATATATATAGGTATATCTTAAAATAAACCGGTTAATAATTGATTATTTTGTTTAATTATAGAACAGTGCAAGCAACATCATTGTATTGTTTAAAAGAAGACTTAAAATGAATATTCTTCTCTGCGTATATATTTACAGTACCACGTATTTGAAAAAACCGCTTTAACGAATATCTGTTGAAAGTTTTTCTAATGAATTAATTAATATTTATGTACTTTTTGAAACATTACTTTACATTTTGAAATATTAGTTATCATATTATATGAGAATTCTAAATTCTGGCTTGTTTGCAAATATCAATATTATTTTCAATTTTATTAAAATGTCTTGCTTTTTTACCTTTCGTAGTTTATCTTGCGACTCGACGAAACATCAAGCAGTATAATGGTAAAGTAATCAAGTGAGTCTAACTGTCGGTAATATCGTAATTACATAAGCATGCAATGGTAACATCGTAAAGTAGCTGCTGATAAAGTTAAGTCGGTTGTCGGTAATATTATTTCAGTAAGAATACAAATATTTTGTCATGCGCAAAGCGCGCCAAATTGCGACTCACACATATACAGACACATGTACTATCCTTTCAAAGAATACCGATCCACATATACCTGCTTTTCTACTTGCTTGTTCATATATTAGAAAAAGAAATATCGATACAAAAAATTAAAAATACATACGTATAGCTGATGATGATCATGCACCAACTGCATTTTCGCTGCACTTCGAAAATAATGTGCACTATGCGAAAATGATCGGGAACATTTCATCCAAACACACGGGCACACGAAAGCATTAATTTCGAAACATGATATTAACGTACACAGCGATTATATGCTCGATACATTACAATCAACGTCCGATGCTTCACAATAAGAGACACTCGCGATAAATTATTGCGCGCGAGACCACTTTAAAACAATAACAATCGCAAAAAAATACGGAGCGATCCGAAAGCGATCCGTACGTCGCGACGCGAGTCGTTACTTTGAAAAACAATATGGCGATTCTTGATATATAGGCTGTGTTCCAAAATTCACTGCCAATACTGGAAATTTATAGTTCAACGTGAATTATAGATTTCCAGTACTGGCAATGAATTTTGGAACACGACCATAAAAACGGTAGGTGCTTGGCTTATTTTTGTTTTGATTATAATCACGATATTAATGTATAATAGTGATTATACGCGATATTTGACGTTACGATGAATGCACGACACTACGGAAGACACTCGCGATAATCGTTCACGTCTCAGATTCATTTTTAGGCAATAATAACCGCGAGAAATACACGGAGTGATTTTGAACGCGACTAGAATCTAAATACACTCGACGACACGCGTTTCGCGAACGACAGCGCGATCGAAGTAGCGGTGCAAACTTCAAACGGTTTAACGTAAGAATACATTCAAAATATTTAAGTGAATATTGCATAGAATATTGTCTATGGAATATTGTAATATCGGTCTAAACAGTACGTGAATTAATCGCAATAATTTATATAATCTCTAGAATTTTTCAATAGGGAAAAAACATTCAAGTATCGAAATGTGCAGTAGAAATAAAATTCAAATGAACGCGCTGATCTTCGGCACCGACGAGATACTCTGTTAAAGACAGCCAGCTTTTGATATAATAACAGATAGTTATTCAAAAAAGAAAATTATTACGTCGATATACATATAAGTATATTATAAACCTGTAAAATATTCAAATAATAATTTAAAAATATATAATACAAATATATATATATATATATACAGGGTGTCCGGTAAAGATTGTGCCAACGCTCGTGAGCGGGTAG